TCAACATGGGAAGAAACAGCATAGCAGGCATTGTGAGAATGGCGCAGCACTGGGCACTGAGGATGTGAGTGAAGGGCCGGCCCACACCACCCGGGAGCCCTCCCAGATTACTGGTATCGGCACAGATGCTCCATTGCCCGTCCTTGTCCATGTTCTCGGTGGTTGGGCACCAGAGGTGGCTTCCGTCATCAATACACTCAGTGACCATGTCGTTTCTGTAGATGGAGGGGAAGATGCAGGGCTTGCTGAAGGAATTTCCCCCGTATTCTGAAAACGAGCGTGGCAGAAGGCAGGTCAGGGAGGGAAGGTGAGGGGGACTTCCACTTGTCACACACAAACCATACGTCAGGCTGTGTCCCACTAATGGCAATGCATGGTTGGACCCTCCGTTGTTTCTGTTTATGGTCTGGGCTCTGTTGTGCGTGCTTCTGTAACGTTCCAATTCCATAAGGTATACGTCACTATTGTGCTTTCAAAATACACACATATATAAAACCACACCCACTGCCGTCCAGCCGATTCTGACCCACAGCGCCCCTACAGGACAGGGTGGAACTGCACCACAGGGTCTCCAAGGCTGTGATCTTTACTGCCAGACCTTTCTTACATGAAGCTGCTTGGTGGGTTCAAATCACTGACGAAGCCCCTAAGTGTTAGCATCTGAGTGCTTAATTATTGCACCACCAGGGCTCCAACATTAACTTTACCAATCCAAAAACCATACCCACTGCCTATAAATTGTTAACTACAAGTCATTAGAAACCTGTAAGTCATGGTTAAGTGCTCGGGTACTAAGGGAAAGTTGGTAGTTCAAACCTACCCAGTGGCTCTGCAGGGGAAAGACCAGCTAGGAAAAATTGTGCAACTCGATGTTTGGGGTCCACTCACAGATATGTGCAACCATCACTAATGTCACATTTGGAGCACACCCTTCAGCTATTACCTCCTGATTCCCCAGTCCTTCTTCCTTTAGCCCTAAGCAACCATTAACCTACTTTTTTACTTTATGTTGTTGTGGTTGTTGTTAGGTATGAACAAGTCAACTCCAACTCAGTAACCCAATGTGACAGAGTGTTGTTGTTGTTATGTGCCATAGAGTCAGACCCAACTCACAGCGACCCCTCCTTGGGTTTCCAAGGCAGTATCACTACAGAAGTAGATTGCCCCATCTTCCTTCCGAGGAGTGGCTGGTGGGTTTGAACCGCC